AAGAATAAACCCCCCTCACCAGCCTTTCGCTTCCCAAAGCAGGTCTTTAGGCCTCCAGCCTGAAACCTGGATGTATGAAATTGCGAGGTTACAATGCAGAATGTTCAACTGAAGCCTGGCAACTGCACAGACCAGAGCTGCTGCCCCTCAGTGTTGTCAGTACATTTATAAGTCACCTTTCTAAACCCACAGACCTGTACCTGAAAAGATACATGCAATTAAGTTAATACTGAGTTGGAGATTGAATCACTTTTCTTTATATAGTGCTGACTATATAAGGCTTGGGTAGCAGCTGTTTTACTTACAGTTTCCCTTAGGTAACCAAAAGTTCTCGGTATCAGCTGTCTCTAGTTACAGATGATGGGTTAGATGCTCTGTTACTCAGGATGTGTGCAAAGCAGCTGAAGCCTTTCCAAACCTGTAAATAGTGGTTCATATAAAAAGCAATTCTCAAGTAAAGTTTTGAAACCCAGTTCAGGAGCAGGTCAGCTCCTGGGTTTGGTCTTGTCTGCTCAGGCTCAAGTAAAACACTAAATTAGCTGAGCAATAAATAAAGTGCACTTTTTCTGTATTTAAATGGCCAACCCTTTGTTCTCTTAAATGTCCTGTGGAAACGCATCCATACTTCTAGGGACACACATGCTCAGAAATCTACTTGAGCCCACATTCCACCACATTAATTAAATCAGTAATTGGTTATGTTTCAGAAATCTAAACACAGGGCTGTCAAGCATTGCTCCCCAGCAATTCATACACCATATGCAGGGGTGTGAGAACAATACAGATGAAACTGTGCTTTATCTGTGCTTGCTTTCATCTTAGTAGCACTAAGAGTCACAGGAAGAGTTTGGGAAGAGTTCTTTGAAGGTAGTTCCAATCCATACTGAATCTCTCTGCTGCTCTCTGGTGCATCGCTCCTATGTGCGTAAGTTCAGCACAAACTGTAGGCAGTGCTTAACTGTGCTGGATTTACAAACACAATTTTTATAAAGTTCAAACCCATTTACCTTTAACATGGCAAACTGTAACAATGGTGTAACCATTAAGTACAAAGTGAACAGGAGCAGGGTCTGCAAAAACTTTAAAACCCGGACTGTATGGATACACCAAACGATTATAAACCCACTTCTATCCAGCATACCTGGAAATGCTCCCTCAGAAACGACTGAGATGGATGCATTAGGAAAATGAACCACACATTTAGAACTCTAGAAGGGCAGGTCAGAGCTTTATTAATAAAAATCCTACACAACACCCAAGATAACAAAACTAACATTTAGGCATCCATCTTGGTTAAGGACAGCTTCCATTCAGTGCAACAGGGCTGCGTTATCAAAGGTTAAGAGCCTTTTCAGGCTGATTTGTAACACTTTTTCACTCCAAGCCAGACCTGTGTTAAATATTTTATCTGTATTGCCAGCTCACAGCAGAGTGCACTTTACTCCTAGGTGGAGGACTGCTGCAGGCCAAGCATGGCTGAGAGGACCGGCAGGGTACTGGGCTGATCACATCCATCCCCACCCAACCGGATGGATGTGATGCCCACATGCCGGCCTCTCTAAACCTCATGCAGGTCACTCGTATCAATGTGGTCTGGAAAACTAACATGCTGCACAGCAACTGTCAGAAGACTGGCGTCAGGCAGAGCTCAGATACATGAACCATCTCAAGAGAGGGTGCTTGGAGTAAGTGTTCTATTTTTAAGGCCTTATTTTATAGAAGGAAAACTAAGTCACAACATCCCATAAGGGTAGGTAAGGCAAACTGTACTACAGGTAGTATTTCCTCCTGTGAGCTGCAGGTCAATACTGCTTTAACTAAGAATCACACACAGCATTTCAGAGAGAGAGACTACATATTCTTTAGTCCTGTGAAGTGACAGGGCTTTAGGAGTTTTAGAAACCCAATATATAAGTGGAGTAGGGTAGGTCTGGTTTTGTTTTACAGTTTCAGGTTTCTTCAAAATATGAACTCAACTATACATGAAAACCAAACCCGACCACCTGCTTAGCTTCAATTTAACGTTCTCCTTCCTGCCTGGAGCACTTGCACTTGGTTGTGGTTTGCAGCTTAAGAGAATCATAAAATCACAGAATAGTGTGGGTTGGAAAGGACCTTAAGATCATCTAGTTCCAACCCCCCCCTGCCATGGGCAGGTGCACCTCACACTAAACCATGTCACCCAAGGCTCTGTTCAACCTTGCCTTGAACACCGCCAGGGATGGAGCATTCACAACTTCCCTGGGCAACCCATTCCAGTGCCTCACCACCCTAACAGTAAAGAACTTCCTCCTTATATCCAATCTAAAATTTACAGTACAGTACATCTAATAGAGTACAGTACATCTAGTACAGTACAGTAATCTAATACACAGTATCTGCATTAAAACCTGATGACCTTAATTTAACAGAGACTGCAGAAAGCTTTGCCCTACCACCTCTGTCTTAGGCAAACTGTAAAGTCCATAATAAATGTAGGCACTACTCACTACCGCAGAGCAAAGCTCTGCCTCTCAAACTTCTTCTCTAACGTAACTGATGGAAACAGATCAGGAAATCAGTGTCACATCATTCAGTTAACCTGTATCAGTTTTTAGTTTAAATTTAAAAGAAATACAATAAATTTACATTCTTGATTGTGCATCCAGGCATTTGTGAGGTCTTTGCAAAGAACTGTCACTGAAATGCTTTACTAGTAACTAGAAAAGGTGAAACAAAGCTTAGAAATATATTCCAAACTGTCTTATGTTCTGCTGATACTGATCATAGATAATAACACCCCAAAGTCTGCAGCACATGCTATCTCACTGGAGATTTTGAACTTGTTTGTTCCAGAATGCACACAAAACATTTAAGCATTTGACTTTCTAACTCTTCTGGAACACCATACAAGCAGCACAGGCTTAAAATTTTATATTTTAAACCCCTTCTCTGATCCATCCAGCAGCAGTTCCAAGCATCTTTGGCCAACAGATTGTCATTAGGCTTTTCCAGTCGGAAAGCCCCATGCTTTTCCTTATCAAAGTCACAACTGCTTGGAATTCTGCTTTAATACAGCTTTCTGAACCACTTGCCTGCACAAAAAAAAGGATCTGAGTATCTGTAAAACTCATAGCCTGTGGTTTAGGCTTCAGTTTTAGTACAATATTGTAGGCAAATGCAATAAAATTTGGGCCCACCACTGACTTCAATGCTTGTATTAGTTCACATTCTTAAGCTTTTTTTACCTTTTGCATGGCTGCTCACACTAGAAACTTCCCTGATACTTGCTTTAAACAGAAACATTAGCTTAGTTGTGAAGTTTTACAGTCTTTTAAGCAATAATAAGGTCAGATTCAAATACAAGCCAGATTTGGAAATATTTTTTAGAAAATAAAACAAGAGCAGGAATATTCTGCACTGTACATTTATTGCAGAATTGATGTCACTTTACATGATAATTTCAGGTGGCATAAACAGGTCACTGTGTATGAGCAAAACCTGTAATCTGTGACTGGCATTATCATTGTGGGGCACAAAAATTACCTTGCTTGGTGTCTTGGTGATGGCTGTGTTTTGCCCACAGCCACCTCTCTGTGACTGGGGGTTCTGGGTTTCTCGGCGGGAGCACTGGCTGCTTTAGCCAACCAGCTTCTGAAGATTGCAGTGTCTCTCATAATTACATTTTTTATTTTCTTTTGAAAAAGCAATACAAACTGTGTGGTAGCATCGGTGTTCTTGTCACAAATAACTGATTTCTTAACGTTTAACATGGCAGGCCTATAACAAAAAAAGAAAGCAGGTTGATTTTCCTTAAGATGTATAAACAATCAAAGAACAAGATTTCTCACAGAGCTCTCGGGATCTGATCACAGTACAACAATCAAAGATCCTAAACCCGCAGGAACAGCTGTAGTTTTACCTCTGTTTTGAGAAACAGAAGAGCATTCTTCCCTCCATTATGCAATACTGTATCTTTAGCTATTTAGTTTAACAAAAAAAAACAACTATTTTTGAAAAGTGTTGACCTACTTAACATACATTCTTAAAACAGTGACATCTGAAATACTTGTCTAGAGAGTGTGGTTCCCAAGACCTCATTTTTATATCTAAAAAATGTAACACTTCCTGTAATTCCACCAAAAGCCCATGTGCAGTAGATGATAAGGTAGCAAAACTCAATACTGACCATAATCGCAATGTAACAAAAAACCTGGTAAAACCTCCAACGTGGTACTAGAGGTTTCTGCACCTCTTCTAATTTGTCTCTAAGAGACTAGCTGAAAGACAGCCAAATGTAAATACACGGTACCATCCTAGCTGTAGGACAAACAAGGTGGCAGTCCTCTGTCATTCTAGGTGTACAGGATGCAACTATAGTATCTTCACTGTGTAGTGGATGTGTCAAAAATAATTATGTTAATGCAGTTGCAAATTCTGTAGTGTTGTCTATTAGAAGTGTAAACTACTGAAAACTTGGCCTTGCTGAGATGAATAAAGTGATTAAAATACCTGTCTTTACAGATACAGTAGAGGTTGTCTTTTTTATGAAATACAAATCTTAGCATTTCTTACCTTCTTTATTTTAAAATTTGTAGAAAGGTCTTTTTAGAGAGAGATGTTTCCAAAAAATATGTCACAATATAAATGAATCTATTTGAATCTTCCTGACGTGGTTCCACAACTCCCATGCAGAAGTACACACATGTAGGTGTGTACATACGTGGGGTTTAATTATCCTGATGTATTAGAGATGTCTAGTAACTAAACTGCGTGTGAACTCCACTGCATCTAGCCCTCTAGTAGGCTATGAACATGACTGAAGACACCAAGGCAATTCTGTTTTATCCATCTCTAGGCACACACACACAGAGTGCATCCCATTCCCAGAATTTCCCATCAGTTTCTGCAGACCCCACAAGGTCCACAGGCTTGTAACACTCCCAGAGCAATTTCAGAGGCGATACGTTTAAATAAGGTGTAAACTCTTGAGACAACTACAGCGGTGATATAGCGAAAGAAAAAGGGCAGCAGAAGCTTCATGATGGACACAGAATGAGTACTTGAAAGTGGCAAAGGATGATGTACTTGTAAAACCAAAAAAAGCAATCCAGGCAGGAATCTGGGAAGCATCTCCAAAGCCAGTTTCTTAGCATAAGCATTATTCCTTGGTGACATTTCATACACTCCAGGCGATTCAGGTAGAACCCCTGTAGCTATAGCTGATCACATGGAGAAGCACCAGAGGAAGTCAGGATGGTGTATTCCAAAGTATCCTGCATGCACAGGGTATGTACATGAAAAAGTGCTTTGTGAATTACTAACTTTATTTCAGAGTAGCAGAAAGTCATAGAGAAATGCTGTCACTGCACTTTGCCCCAGCAGTGCAGCCCTTCTTCCGTTGAAGCCATCTCTGCAGCTGTGGTTTTGTTCGGTGTTGCCCTGGACGTTTTCACACTAAATACGTTTCACTTCATGTGTTCACACAGAATCAAAGACAAATAACTGAAGTGTTTGATGACAAATCCTGCCAAAACCTGATTATTTCACTTGATGTAATGCCATGTACTGCAATCAAATGCCTATACTTACAGATATCAAAATTAATTTTATAAAGAAAGAATTGTTGGTTATCTTCTGGAATACTGATGTTCACATTAAGCAGATTTAAGCAAATTCCAACATAAACATCCTCAAATTTAATGGGTTTGATATGACTCATCAGTTCATAAATTCTCAGGGCCAGTTTTCCATCTAGGATATATCCCATCCCACTGCAATACGGAGGGTACAACCTGAATGGATATTCATCATACGAGATGTATGTTTTTTGGTAAGAGCCTCTGTAGGCAAAGTTATCAATGAGAGGATAACCAGTAAAAATATTTTCTGACGAATTTAGCTTCAGAAGAAATTTTATCAAGTTAGCAGTGTTGATGAAGACATCAGTATCGGTCTTCATGAGGAACCTAGTGTTTGAACAGAACTCAGTGACCCACTGAAATGCCATGATTGTTTTCAAGGTAAGATTGTTGTAAGTGTCCATAAAGTCCTGGCGAATTATGTCACCATAGAGGATGCTTTCGTCTTCTACTGACAGGGCTGCAGCATTGTTTTCTCTTTGAGAATCTTGACCTAGTAAGAACAGGGTTAGAATTCGATGTCCCCACCAGAAGCTTTGAGACCCCCACGTCATCCTGATGGCCTGCCTTGACATCACGTCCTCGGGACGTGAAGACACCAAGATGACCAGAAATGGATTTATGTCTTTGCATTTCAAGCGCTCCCGCAACGTGAAGAGGTAATGTTGCTTGTAAATTGGTTCATATTCATAGAAATACATGAGGTTTGTATGCTTAATCACAGTGTTGGAAGAAAAAGCCACGTACCACACTGCTGTGACAGAAAGTATGACGAGAAACAAAAAAATCCATTTTAATGGTCTCATGTACACAACATTAACTGGATCTGAGCAATAACTGGTTTGCAGAAGTGCATCAGTGACCTTCAAAATCCGTACCACAAGTCCTGAGACATGTTTCTTGCTGAAAAAGAAATTAAAAAGTAGTCTTCAGAATGCTATTATTCAAATATTATCTTTTTCTTATCTTGTCAAGTGTTAGTTGAGCATATGCTGTAACATAATGAAGACAAATACCAGACCCATTGGTCCAGCTGTTACATATGGCACCCTGCACACCCGGAATTGCTACTGCATTCCAGAAATGAGTACAAGCAGAGCACTGAGCAACTCCTGAGCACAGCATGGACTGAGATCTCATGACTTTCATCCTGGAAATTCCCCCTACGTAAATCTGATCACACAGCAAGCACTGTGACCCCAGAGATCTCAGCACAATCTCTGACTCAGTTAAATCTCAAGGGAGGAACACCCTGAACAAAACCCAACTGCTACAAAGTGCTCAGCTAATTGATGTTCAGAGGCTTCAAAAAACTGTGATTTATTTTAAAGCAAGGAATTCCTACTGGTTTGGATAAGCTGGAGCAAATTGGCCAAGAAAGCAGGTAAAAAGAGAAGTACAAGCAAATATTTCATCTCTTTTTTTAACAGCTGAACATCTACTTGTTCCAAATTGACTGAAGAGGTGATGGAGAAAAATCAGCTTCCTTATGAACAACATCACAGCCACAGACATGCTAACACAAATGTATCTCAACAGACAGCTCTTACACCACCCAAAGAAATGGCTACTTTCACAACACACAACACTGAACAGCAATCATTTATTTTCTAATAGGTGCTTATTACTTGCTCAGCAAGAAACTGAACGTGAGCCAGCAGTGGGCATTTGCAAACCAGAAAGCCAACTGTATCCTGGGCTGCATCAAAAGCAGTGTGACCAGCAGGTCAAAGGAGGTGGCAGAGGCATTGGAACTAGATGATCTTAAGGTCCTTTCCAACCCAAACCATTCTATGATTCTAAGAGACTGAGTAAAGGGGCACTGCAATCAACTTTGTCATGGCAGCTTTACATCTGGCATAATGGGAGCATGCACTGCAGCCCACGAATTTCAAATCTTACAGAAATTTTGTAAATTACTCTAATATTTTCCATTTAAACAAACAAGACACTACAAAATCCTCCTACCACTTCCATCTACGTAGGTTTTAAAGAAGGAATTCCATCTGCATTATTTTTATGCCAAACCCTACCTATCTGCCAAAAAAGCAATAGATTTTCTCAGCTCCATCAGACACACCACACACATCAAAAACCACAGTCGGCACTGGAGATGAAGGCAAACCAAAGCCGTTTTTTGACTACATACACGTCTTGGTCCAGAATACAAACTGCACAGGTATAAACCCCTGAAAACACTACTACAGCATCAGGATTAGATACATCAATTCATCTTGCCAAAACTAAATGTGAAAATAGAACTTCAGGCCTGCACCCTCCATTTAGCAGTGCTTACTTTTACTGTACTCTAGAAAACTATGTGTGTTCTGCAGATATCTTTAAACCAAAATAATTACAACATCTTACCGTGGGAGTTCCAAATGATTTCTAATGTTTGCAGTAATAATGTTTACCCTGTGCTATAAAGTATCCACAAAGACATAGTAAGGGTGATTCAAGGTTCAATTTCACAGCACAATTAATTACTATTTAACTTATCTTCACAAAGATCACTGCAGGGCTTATAAATGTTTTATATTTAAAAAAAAAAATAAATAAATCCAAACCTCAACATAGCATGCTAGAATTTAGATGAATTTGATTTGCCACCTTCCTTGTATTTCTGGGTATGATCTGACTTTAAATGAATGATCCTTTAAAGGAAGCATTTGGAGCACATTTCACTGACGACAAAAAGCACATCACTTAAAATGCATTAAAGCAATTTTATGCAAATAGCTATTTAAAGAAAATAATTTCAGACTGATCCCTTTTAAGGCTGAGTTACTTAAAAATTACCAAGTGACAAACCCTGCACTAAAGGTACCTAATATAACTACAGATTAGCATGTTACTAAGAACTTCCTAATGTGACTGATGTCCTGCCTTATAAAAACACAAAACCTTAGAGGTTTCATGCTCATTCACTTGTTTTTCTCCATATGGATTAAACATATGCAAGTAAAACAAGTTTGCAAGCACAAAAGAAAGTACCATTGAGGCTGTTCAAACTGCATTTAGGGAAGTTGATTGTAGCTGAATAAAAAACCCTTCAGAGCTGCCAGTCTGGTATTTAATCCCTAGTTTTAAGGGAAGAAAAAAGTAATAAAATGCTGAGTTCTTCTCTCTTTATATATATCAACCTGACTCGCAGTTAATAATATGAAAAACACGTACTCGAAGAAAACTACCTTAGTTATATATCAGTACTTAAGTATTTGACTTTATATAAATAACACTTCTCGGGGTTTGATGATCAATTTAAAGTAAATTACATCAAAATTTGATCAGTTCTTGACTACCTAATGAAAAAAAAATCTGATTATAAGTATTTTGATTCTTTACTGACAGAAAAGACTGATTACATGACATTCTGAACAACAAAATCACGACCTGAGCTGCTACACAATAAAAAATCTGGGAAAATAAATCATCGATTTTTGTCCTTTGCCCACACTATGCAAGATGGAATCTTAACGATTCTGTGTCCTTACGAACAGCCACAGGGCATCGAGGACAAGCAGTGTAAAGAGCTGTTCTGCCGTGCGACTCTTGAGGAGGCCAAATTCCTGTCTCCACAAACCTTGTTGCTCTCTTTCTTAAGGTCTCATTTATCCAGTGACAGGCTAAATAGTTTGCAAGCTAGCATAGGTTCACCAAAACACAGCTTTTAGAATGGTCATGGGGTGGAAACTACACTCCCTAAAACATGAGACAGCTGGTTTTGCAGCGCTGAGAATTCAACATACAGGCAGCCATCCTCCAGCATCATTAACTGAGAACTCTGCAAATAAACGCAAAAAGAACGAAAGGGCAAAGCAAAGGAGAAATCCGAGCACAGCCCTCGACAACGGCTGTGCTCTTCACTCCTTATTTCAAACGCCTAAACCAAAGCAATGAGTCTGAAGATGTGAGGTCTAAAAGCTGCGATTTTGCCTGGAGTTGGCGCAGTTGCAGTCCTTCCAGCTGCTGGGGAACGTGGAAGGTCCTCCAGCACTTCCAGGCGTTCTCTGCTGGCAGTTTCTGCCATCCAGGGATACTGAGCGGGAGCATAGCAAGGGCAAAAACTGCTGCTTTCAGGGAAATATTTTCATCTGCTTCCAAGCTCGCAGCTTGCTGGCCCTACATGGTACGAGTCTGAGATTGTGTGACCAACATGAAAGCAAACGGAAGAAAACTGCAACTGAGCACATGCGCTAGTAACTCCCGCCGCCTCCCGACCCGCCGTCACGGCCGGCTGCCAATGGCGGGGCTGCCCGGGAGGCCGCGCGCCCCCTCAGCCTCACCGCGCCCCGCCGTGGGGAACGCGATGTCCCCCTCCCGTTCCTCCGCCCGCCGTAGCCGTTACCGTTGCGCCCGGGGCTGCTGCCGCCGCACGCCCGCCAGCCAGGCGGGGCAGGGCATCACTCCTCCCGCCGATAGCGGCTGCGTCTCCTCGCAGCCACGGCGTCAGGTCTGGCTCGGGATGGGCGGCCCCGCTCTGGGTGAGTGGGGGATGTGTGGCCGCAGCGGGCACCGTAGAACGCCCGCCTCCTCTTCCGCCTTGTCGGGGGCGCAGCGCAGCGGAGCAGGGAGCCGGCGGGGAAGCCCCTCCTAGGGCCTGAGGCAAGCCGCGCCGGGGCGTTCCGGGCGAGGCGCCTCGCCTTCCCCTCAGCGAGGCCAGGGGCGGGCCTGCGCTCGCACCCCCAGAGGGGGGGGCTCCGACCGCTACCTGCTCTTTACAGACTGTACCCACAGCTCAGTCGGCTGTGGGATTGAAGTTCATAGGTTCCAGGAAAGAAGAGACGGGCATTTTCAAATGGAACTTTTCTCTTGCCTTAGCTACTGGAATTAATCATGGCGAGGGCTTACCCCCAGTTTCACTAAATGACTGTATTACATTTTGTAACATTACAAAAGCATGCAGCCGTGGTGGAATATCCTGCCTGGACAGCCCAGGAACCTACACAGGTTACCGTTAAAGCTGCAGAGTTTACGAAACGTTTATTGTGCAAAGTTTTGAGTTTGAATAATCGATGCTAAACCAGCTGTCCCAGTTTTATTACTCTGGGGGTTTTAAACTGAATGTTTAGTCAGACCCTACATAAGCAAGATAGCCTCACCCCGGGAAAGCAAATACACCTTTGGACAAATCAAAGGTAGATTTCTCACTCTTTCAAACGCTCACCTTCAGGTGCAAATAGATACAGAACCTGCAAGCAGGAGGCTGCATCATGCTGCATCATGTGCAGCTGCCTACAGCTTGGCTCTGATCTCCTGGTGTACAAACGCCAAAGCAACGCAGGAAATCGATTCTGGGAGTGGCTTTGCATCACAAAATCTTGCTCTGAGCCAGACTCAGGCTTGACTCAGGTACTGTTAAAAACTGCGAAGCCAGAGTCTCCAGAAGCAGTTCTGTCCTAGAAGTAAATGTAATTAGCTTATGAAAAAGTCAGATACTGCTTAATCATTTCTTTAAGGCAATAATCTGAGTTAATAACAGTTGCAACCATAAATATAAAATAATAAATGTATTTATGCAGCCATAAATAGCAAATAAATACCAAAATACAGCGGGAGCAAATGTACAGTGCAGAGAACTGAAGCACAGTCCCTCAGAAGCAATCCATCCATCCTCTCGCTGGCCCAGGAGGGAGGTTTTGCCTTTGATCAAGATAGCTCTATCTCAAGGAAACAGCATGCTGTTTTGCAGGGAATTCTGGTTCCCTTGGCTGCGTTAACAGTGTGTTTCACAGAGTTTCCTGTCTCCCCATTTTTTGATTCATCCACATACATAAAAAGAAACACACACTTTCTTCCCTGTTTAATACATCCTGACCTGATCCTGAAAAAAACTCTACACATAATCTATCCATGTTATTAAATATACAGTAAATATGTCACAGTAATCTTTTGTTGTCCCTGGTTACTGCTGGTATAACCCTTTCAGCTTCAAGAGAAACCAGATCACAACTTGTCTGTCAAGACTGAGGTTTATTTTATGCAACATGTGTGATAGCTGAGCAGCCTGTGTTGTAATTATTGAAATGATTACCCTACCCATCAGCAGCTCATGTGGCCAGGAGACCTTCATATCTTTTTGCTGATTATGTACTTTCTAGAGCAAAGACGAATGGTGGTAGCTAACACTAATGTAGCTGGGTATGCGGGCAAACCAGTACTGTAGTACTTCAGAATGCATCAAGCCAGCCCAGCGTAGGTCTGCTGTCAGTAACATGGAGGCTCAATATGGATTCAATGATATTAGACTAAATTTCCTATATCCTCTTTTTTTATTCTTATTTTATTTACTAAGAGGGTGGCGAGACACTGGCACAGCAACTCTGAGATTGCCCGGAGAAGCTGTGGCTGACCATCCATGGCAGCGTTCAAGGCCAGGTTGGACGGGGCTTTGAGCAGCCTGGTATAGTGGAAGGTGCTCTGCCAATGGCAGGGAGGTTGGAACCAGATGAGCTTTAAGGTCCCTTCCAACCGAAACCATTCTGTGATTCTATGATTACTATTTAGAGTGCAGAAAAAAAATAAATATCTTTTGATCAAGACTCTGTTGCTTTCCCCCTTTGGTTCCTGAGGGAAATCATCTTAGATCAGCAGGCAACAATGGAATAGAGCATAATGAAGTGAACAGAAACCCTTGATTTCAGGTAGCTAAATCTCAGTAATGACCAGATCTTAAGGACTCTATTTAGGCTCCACCACACCGAGTGCATTTAAACTTGTCCATACAAACATAATTCACTCAGTTTACAACTCCAACAGTGGAATCTAAGCAGGCAATTTCAGGGGTGGGCAGGAAGAGCAGCTGGCAGAGTCGAGGCAGCCAGGTACAGCAGAGCAGTTATCAGTGGAATTGCCTTACAGTTTGTTTGAGTCCGTGTGCTCATGTAGTCACACATTAGAGTCCACTTGAGATTAACTTGCTGCTGGAAGGTGAGAAGGTTCCTTGTCATTCTGTGGGTTAATAAGTATGGAAAAAACATGAGATTTTCATTCCTCACTGGATGTGTTTATATTTCATTTCTTTTTGAGAACAAATGCAGATGCGGACATAAAGAGATTTATCTTTTATCTTTATGTCAGGCTGCACCTAGAATACTGTGTTCGGTTTTAGTCCCTAGTAGACAAGAAAGATGAAGACAAGCTGGATAGGGTCTAGAGAAGGGATGCAAAGATGATCCACAGACTGGAAAGCCGTATGAGAAAAGTCTGAGATAACTGGGTTTGTTTAGCCTTAAGAAAAGGTGTCTCATGGGAGACTTTAATACCATGTTCCAGTATTGAAAGAGGAGCTACAAGGAAGACAGAGACTCCTTTTTACAAGGAGTCACATGGAAAAGATGGGGGGTAATGGGCACAAGTTAATCCTGGGGAGATTCCAGTTGGACACAAGAGGAAAATTTTTTAACAATGAGAACAGTCAGCCATTGGAATAATGTCCCCGGGGAAGCGGTGGATTCCCCAACACTAGACACTCCTAAGATTTGGCTGGACAGGGTGCTGGGGCATCTAGTCTGGACCATGCTTTGCCTATGAAGGTTGGACCAGATGATCCTTGAGGTCCCTTCCAACCTGGGATTCTATGATGCTATGACATTGGGTTCTCTGGAACAGGGCAGACAGATAGCGGTTCCCTGGCCCTTGGGGTTAGAGATCACAGCTAGGCTGCTGCAGGTTCCGTACACAAAATACAATGTCTTAAATGCTCATGGAGGTGTGGTTCACTGTTCAAATATGTTTGAAGACTGTATAACCTTTGTGCTTGTGACCAATTGGCACGTTACTCATAGTTGTTCCACCCACACAGGCTTGGCACTGAACAGTACACCTTCATAAATACTGTTTGCATATTATCAAGTTGATAAAAGCCAGCATGTATTTGTACAGAGCCTTCATTGACTTCTCATAGCACAAAGCTGCTTCTTCCCCTTCTTCGTCCGCACTCTTTGTGCTCCATCTGACAGGGGAAGAAAGACATCTTACTGAGAAAAACTGGCTTCACAAAAGAGACTGAATTCCAGCTTTAAAGGCTGCCTAGAGACGACCGCAGCAGAAATGGGCCTCCAGCACACCAAACACTCCACAGTCAAACAAGCCAATATACCGATGTTAGGACTTGATTCTGCTGGGAAATCTACACTGTTGTACAAGTTCAAGTCTAACGATGTTTTTCTAACAGTTCCAACAATTGGCTTTAATGTTGATATGATTGAAACTGGGAAGGATTTTACATTGACATTTTGGGATGTTGGAGGACAACAGAAAATGAGACAGGCTTGGTGCAATTTCCTGGAAAATGCAGATGGACTGCTGTATGTTGTGGACAGCTCTGATAAGCAACGTCTGGAAGAATCAAAGAAAGAATTTGAACTCATTTTAAAGAATGAATTTCTAAAACGGGTACCAGTCATCATGCTAGCGAACAAGCAGGATTTGCCTGGGGCTTTGAACGCTGAGGAAATAACGAGGAGATTCAACATGAAGAAGTACTGCAGTGACAGGAATTGGTATGTGCAGCCCTGTTGTGCCATCACAGGAGAAGGTTTGTGCGAAGCATTCCGGAGGCTAACCATGTTTGTAAAACACTACAGCAGATTAAAGGAGACTTCTGCCATCTTCAAGGAAAGCAAAACACTGTAAGAATTTCTATAATCAAATTAGGATCTGGTGAATGTAAATCAGTGTATTTGGTTGGACAGACTAAATCTGAAAATACTGGACTCTGGAGAACTCTTAGAAGTAAATACTTAGAAAGAATTACAGCAATATTAAATTTTACTGTTATAGCCACAGATGCTTCTGAGATACTACTCGCCGCATTTTATCAGTGATAGCATGCTCAAGTTATTCAGCTGAGAAGTGTGGCTGTTGAATGATGAAAAAGGTGGAGCTGAGCTTCTGAATTTTAGCATGTGGAAACAAAATGGGTGACCAGTGCTTAGAATGCTTAAATCGAGTAATTTTCTCAAGATGTAAAATAGCCAAGTCATGTTATGATAAATCATGGGATTTAATAAATGCTCTGTACATGTATTTCTCATGTCAAAATGTAGTCATTTTAGATCTTAAACTCTTGGTTTCCTACGAATAAACCTATGAATCTGAAATAGTTGTGAGATACTGCATTCTAGAACCAATTGCTCCAAACAGGTTTTAACAGGAACTGCTCCTTGTCGAGTCACAGACCACAATGAGGCATGGTGCTGTATGTAAGGTGGAGGTTGATGTCCCTCTGTTGCAGGTTTCTGTGTACCAATTTCTTTGTTTCTGCACCATCACATTCGTGTCCAGTCAGAGCATTGGAAGCTAGTGCTGATCCCCATTGGTTTGGGGGGAGGGATAAAAAGGGGAAGAATGGGGGGGATTGGCTCCTTGGTTGAACCAGGCAGGATATTGATGGATCCTGTCTTGCCTGTACTAAAGCCACCTGAAATTTTATTATTGGTAAATTTATATTTGATTAAAT